CTTTGAGCTAAACAGTACAACGTGCAATAGACCACAGTTTGTTTATCCATTCTTCAGTTGATGGGCACTTTGGCTGTCTCCATCTTTTTGCTATTGTAAATAGTGCTGCTATGAACATGGGTGTACATATATCCACTCGTGTTATGGCTCGTATTACTTGTGGGTAAATACCAAGTAGAGGAATTGCTAGATCATAAGGTATTTCTACTGTCAACCTTCTGAGGAAGTGCCATATTGCTTTCCAAAGAGGTTGGACCATTTTGCAGTCCCACCAGCAATGAAGGAGTGTCCCCGTCTCTCCACATCCCTGCCAGCAATTATTGTCCTCTACTTTTTTTTTATCTTTGCTGTTATTGCTGGTGTGAGATGATATCTCATTGTTGTTTTGATTTGTGAACCCAGGTGGAGACCTGGTTTGCAGCAGTGTGGCAAAACCTGGGGACTCTTCAACCCACAGTCAGTGACATAGCCACAGAGGACTACAGTGGAGAGTGAAACGTCCAGCTGATAAGAGAGTGCATATGCACAAGAACACCCACACTTGCAGATAATACCCACTTGACCTGGCTTCAATGACTGGATGATCAGAGCTCAACCAGAAGAAGAAAGAAGAGGAAAAAAAGAGTAATCTGATACAATTTGATGAACTTGACCTACACCTATGGATACAGTAGCCCAAAAGAGGGAACAAATCTTTACAGCAAGGATCATTCCCACCCCCTCCATACACAGAGTAGACAGGGATGGGCAACTTGGATATTGGCTACCCAAAATGGGGGGGGCTACAAAGGCAAGAAGTGACTGGCTTACAAGCTTTCCAGAGGGCGTGGAGGAAGGTAGAATCTCCACTGAGTAGTATCCAATCTGTCTAGGCGGGGCTGATGACAGGAAATGGGGATAGGTCTCTTGTGATACCGTAGTGAATAACTGTTGTCAGGACTGATTGTGAGGGTTGTATATGTAAAGGTAAATGTTTTGTAGCAAGGAGGGGAGTGATTAACTTTGCAGCCTAGGACCGGAGGTCCCTGGGTCTATGAAGGGAGAAGAATGGAAAGTGGGACCCTACTCAGAGAAGCAGTGATCTCCAAGGGAAAAGGGCTGTGTGTTGATGACTGGGGGTGGGGGTGGGGGTAGGGAGGGAATAGGCTTGCAGTATATATCCTTTGGTTGGTTGATGATGCATGTAGGGGATTGTAACCATGGCAATGAAATATGATAGAATGAATGTAAAACTAATGTTCTCCCATGTAAACTATCTCATATTCACAATAAAACATTTAAAAAACAAAACAAAACAAAAAACTGTCACTTTTATTTTTTCCTATCTGAATAACATAAAATATTTGAAGCTAGCATAAACACACACACACAATTGAGGTTATTTCTGGGCACCTTATTCCTTTTTTGATTTTAAGTGTACCTTTAGATTCAGAACAATACCTGAAATGTGTTTGGGGTAGAGTGTGCCCACAGACAGTATGGAAAGAGTTTTTTTTTGTTTATGTTGTATCTTTTCGTAAATATAACTCAAGGTTTTTTTTATGTTTTGTGTCAGAAGAACTCAGAACTCTTTCCTATACTGTCAACTTTGTGTCAGGTTTAAGATGATCTGAGTTTGGGAAGCTGCATGCTGGGAGGTCATGTAGGAGAGTAGGACAATTTGTGACTAGTGCCAGGTTTTCTTCAGGAAAATCCCTGTATTTCCTCTTGTTTCTTCGTACTCCTTGATGTTGTTGCTGTTAAGTGCTATTTAGTTGGTTCCAACTCATAGCGACCCTGCATAGTGTTTCCAAGGAGCAAGCAGCCGGTGTATTTGAACCACTGACTTTACGGTTAGCAGTCCAGTGCTATCCTACACTGCCTCCTCATACTCCATAAGAATGCACGTATATCCTTGTTTCCCTGGGACAGTTAGTTTACATCTGTTCTGACACAATGCCTACTTTCACCTTTAAAAAAAATAAAATCTCTGAACTGAGCAATTGTTTACATGGGAGAATATCAACTTTACACCATCTTTTCATTGCAATGATACAATCTCCTCCGTGTACTATCATTCAACAGTATTTGCTTCCATTCTCTCTGTTTTTTCTCTTATTTTTTTTTGTGGGGGAGGTGAGTGGGAGAGTGTACACAAAAACACTCAGAAATATATAATAATTTACACCACCAAAGGGCACATTCTGCAAGCCTGCCTCCTGGTCATGAGCACTCAGTCCCTCTCTTTCCATGAATCTAGAGTTCTCAGCCACTCCCCCTCTCCACAACCCCATCTCTGCCTCCATCTCTGGTGTTGCTGCTTCTCTGGATAGGGTTCTGCATTCTGCTTGTGCTCTTCTCCCTTGATAGTCCTAGGGTCCTCTGTTTCTGCACTTTAGGTTTAACTACTTCCCGTTTTTTGTTACAAAACTGTACTTTCACTTTTGAAATCCTGATGTACAGATGTAGGATTAGAACGGTCGACAGTTCAAATTCACCACCTACTCCTCAGAAAGCCTATACAGAGTTGCTATGACTCAGAACTGACTCCAGGGTACTTAACAACATCTTTAGTTTTCAGAAATATCCTGGTTTGAGTAAATTATACTGTTACCCTTGCCATGAAATTTTCTTAACACAAGAGGGCGGCATGTATCCATAGTTGAAAAGTAATGCCACTTGTGAAGGGTCATAGCAGAGAAAGTTTCCTGTTCATTAACTTACTTTTGTTGTTAAATGCCGTCGAGTCCGTTCCGACCCATAATGACCCTGTATAGGATTTCCAAGAAGTGAATGGTGAGCTTGAACTACTGACCTTGCAGTTCAACCTGATTTTGCAGTCCAGCACATAACCCACAGTGCCACACCAGGATTCCATTAGTATAACTAGCCGTCTTTTATTGAATGTCTATTTTCTGCCCCAGGTCTGTCATGAACTCATTTTGCAAAGTATGTATTCCAATTCTGCTGTCTCTGTAGTTTGTCAGTGGCCTGACAGATTTCACCAGAAAAAAAAAAAATAAAGAGAGAGAGAGAATTAAAAGTTCTCTGGCCTGTTACTTTCTTGCTCCTGAAAGAAACCATTGCTTCCAATGGTTCCTGCAATGTGATTACTACAATTGTCTGCACCAGATCCTTAAAATCTTGCCAGACCAATTACACAAACTGTCCTTGGAGGACAAGGCTTGGTTGGTCACCCTGGCACCAGCCAATTGTTCTAAGAACACAGGCCACCATCTCTTGGGATGGCACCGATGACTTATCTTGCACGTTCCTGTTTGATTTAAGTGTCCAGTCAGGTGCCAGAGTTTCAAAATAGTTGGTTCCAATTACTCTTTCCAATTTAATTGTTGTTTTGGTAGATGGAAGAACCTTTAGAGTTCTACCTTGCTGCTTTGCAGAGTTAAACGTGTTTTGAGCAGGGGATTGGTATTGGTAGTCAGCAAAATTTACTAGAGGGAGGACGTTTGAAAAGAAAATGGAAACCTGCTATGAAATCCTGGGAGTCCTGGTTTGGCACTGTGGGTTAATGCACTAGACTGCAAAGTCAGTGTGAACTGCAAGGTCGGTGGTTCAAGCTCACCAGTCGCTCCTTGGAAACCCTCTAGAGGGTCGCAATGTGTCAGAACCAACTCGACAGCATTTAACAACAACAACATGAAATCATGACAGTAACCTAAGCAATGAGATTGGAATGGGAGAGTCGAGGCCAGATTAATGTCTTGTCAGTCATGTCAGGGGGTGCTGCAGTAGGGAACAAACAGAAAGAAGGGTTCATTTAACAAGTCCTCAACAAACTACTGTGTACCAGATACTATGCTGATACTGGCTGTTGCATGTGAACAAAACAGGTATGATCCCTCAGGGAGTCTGGTGAGACTAGGGACATTAAACCAAATAATTAGCATACCAACAATGTGTAGTTACAAGTATTGATAGCTATTATGGTGGTAAAGAGTAAGGACCTAAGAAAATGATCCAGGACAAGTCTAGAAGAGAAAGAGATCAACCTTAAGATTCACCAGCCATTCTGATGAGTGAGAAGTCTATCTTCTTATTCAAAGTGATCTTCTCCAAGTCTCACCCTGTGACCGCCTGCTGATGGGATTCAGAGTGAGAGTCTGAAGTGGGCTTTTGGATGGTTTCAGTGTTGATGCACCCCCTGTTGTTTGCTGTTGTTAAGTGCCGTCGAGTGGGTTCCAACTCAAAGTAACCATGTATATAGGCTTTCAAAGGAACCACTGGTAGATTTGAACTGCTGATCTTGTGATCTGCAGTTGAGTGCACCCTCTAGAGTTAAGTAAAGGAATCAATCTTAGAGAGGGTTTTAAACTGAAAGAGAGGGAGATGGGGAAGGAAAGGAGAAGAAATCATTTAAATTGCGATTTGTTCTGGCAAGTCACATGACAGCCTATTTGTAAAAGAAAGCCCTTTCTATTTCATAGTCATATAAAGGCTTACGTTTGATGAAAATGGAAATACACAATTAGGTAGAAATAGGACTATAAAATTTAGGATGGGGACATTTGTGTTGATGTCCCTCAAATTTTGCACCCCATTGTCTTCTAAACACTCTTAGCTTAGCTAATGATCCATCTTGCCTTGTTAAGAACGAGCACCTTTCCCTACCCTGCATTGCTTAAAAACAATTCAGAAGACCCCCACCTCCACCCCATACTCCCTCCTGACAACTAAGAGACATAGAATAGTCTAGGCTGGGACTGATCATGGAAGAAAGGGACCAGATACCAAATCAACTATAAATTCTAGCCAGCATATACTAGCAAACGTCAGAGTTGTTCATTTGGGACTAGATTTAGAAAGAGCTGAGTCAGAAGGACTGGAAGATAAGATAGGAGTTTATCGATCTGGGAGCACTCTTCTGCAGTATAGGATGTCACACTCTGGTAAGAACTCCATGAGATGATTTGACTTCACTATTAAAACATCTTCTAGCAGCATAGAGAAAGTGATGGCCCAGGAGAGGTGGGTGTTAAATGGCAGCATTGCCCCAGCAGACAATGGAGGCAGAAATGAAACAGCTCATGCAAGTGAGCATGCTAAATTGGATATACCATAAGACGGGAAGACCTATTTCATTCCTTGGGAAGATCTGGCACATCATTCATGATTGCCAAAAGAAATGAGCTGAGAAGGACACTGATGGTGGCTATGTGCTATTGTGTCCCATAGCGCCCCTGTACAGGGTTTCTGAGGCTGTCAATCTTTACGGGAGCAGAAAGTCTCATATTGCTCCTGTGGAGTGGCTGGTAGTTTCAAACTGCTGACCTTGAAGTTCACAGCCCGATTCGTAACCACTACGCAACCAGAGCTACTTGAGAAGGACGTTAGCAACTCTTAAAAGATAAACTGGGCTCTCTTCTGTAAACTAGGCCTGATGGTAGGAGAAATAACAGATTTGGTTCATTGATACCAATGGGATGATTGTCCTAGAGCAAATAGAGTCCAGGTGGTGGCACTTAACTGCAGAAATACACAGCTGGTTGCAATTAGTATAATCATCCACAGGTTGTAACCAAGAGGGCCTGCTTCACAGAGAAAATGGTATCTCTAGAGACAAAATCGATACCAGTATTGCTCCACTTGTACAATGAGAATAAATCAAGGATGGGTGACAAGGAGTTTGAGGACAGTAGCCCCAATAAAAAAGTTACGATGCTCATTTTCTGGACCTGAGTCAGTTTTCAGACTCAGAACCTGTTCTTTTCAGGAGAAAAAACCCTGCAACACCAAACATACACAATAAAGACTCCGCTCTTCATTTCTAAAGGACTCTTAGCAGTTTATTCAGGTAAACTGTACACTGCGGAAAGGGCACTCCCAAACATTCTGATGACTGTTGAGTTCAAGTTGAAATGGACAGTACTTAGACTAGAGGCCTGCTCAGAAGTGGCTTTGAAAGACATTGCCGAGAGAGAGTATTCACAATGGACAGAGAGCTTTGGGCAGTGCACCTGATTATCTAATTTGGGTGTAGGGAAAACTGGCCTGAGGTTAGAATTTATACAGAATCCTGGATGGAGAAAGGTTTGGAACAGACTAGAGTAGAGGCTTGCAGATGGGCAGATGGAAGTGGACGTGAATGTAAAGATCTCTGTATTGTAGATCAATGCCCACCATAGAGTAGTAACCAAGGAAGAGACACCAAATTACCAAATTGGCAGATGATTTGACCAGTTGATGGCAGCACAATTCAGTCATTGGCCACCCCACTGCTGGCACAATGGACTCATGAGTGAGAGACTCATGGTTTGATCCAACAGCATAGGTTCTCACTAACCAAGGCTGAGTTCAGTTTTGTTGTTAATGAATGTCCAACCTACCAGAATCAGATCAATACTGAATGCCCCATATAGCCATTCCTTGAGGAAAACAAACTGCCATATGATGGCAAATTAACCCTCTGAGTCCTTCTCATCCTGGAAACGATCTACTTATTTGCTATATCTATACTGTCAATTCCAAATAGAATCTTACCTAATTAATTCCCAACCAGTAAGCAATGCTTGGCACCTAACAACAACAACAAGTAATGCATTCATTTCAATCTCCAGACTCAAGTCACTCCAGAAAAATTATGCAAGAGCTGTTAATCATGTTTTCATACATTCTGATGTGAGCTACAACCGTGGTTATGGTCCATTATTAAATGACCTCCTGGGGTTATTTACTCGGTACTTTCACCAGTAGTCTGGACTTGAACTTAAACCATCTCAGCATCTTCTGACTGCCTTTGGAATATCTTCTGTATTGGGAGGTTGAACGTTTCTGGGTTGCAAACTTTGCTATCAACTAAATGATGGCTGAGACTGTAAAAGCCTGATTAATGACATTATAAAATTGTGCCACTGAAATGCTTTCTTCTGTTATCATTTGGAGGAAAGACAAGTCTCATAGTTCACCATCCTCTATGAGGTTCTAAGTAAGTGACCAACGGTTTTTAATAAGTTAGGCATTTCTGAACAGTATGGTTGTCTGGGTTCAGTATTCTGGCCAGAGCTAGGGGGGAAAATGTGCTTTTTCAGCTGATCATGTGTAAGAAGAGATGTAAATCTTGACTGTCAAGGGACGGAGCAAAACTAGGTACTGCGTGGATATACTGGGTGCATAAACCAGCTTTGCACATTGCTCGTAATCATGTATCACAAAACATGTTTTGCAGAGGGAATTGATAAATACAGATTATTTTATTATACCAATGGCTTTCCTTGCCATCATTAATTTTCTTTTTTTTTTTTTCCTGATTTTTACTTTAGTATTGTTTATCAAATAAGATCCTTTGTTAAAACTGGAATTGAGAGATGGGAAGCAGGTAGCCAAGGGGTAGATAAAACTCTAACCAGATCTAACATTTGGTAAAAGTATTAATTATGCATGATTCTGGAGTCTGAGCCCTGGAAATCAGATCACAGTACCATACTTGTGGCTTTGTACTGGGCAAGAGAATTCAGTTGTGTCCCCCAAAATCATAGCCAGTAAGGAGTTTTCTATCCATAAAGCCTCAGAAGGTGGACCATCACACTCTGGGTCAGTTCCCTGACAACTGGACCAGGGCATTGCAATGAATTGCATTTTACTATAATCTGTGTCTGCTATGGAAATTCTGGTGTGGCACTATGGGTTAGTGTGCTGGACTGCTAAGACAGTTTGAACTGCAAGATCAGTGGTTCAAGTTCACCAGCTGCTCCTTGGAAACCCTACACAGGGTCGCTATGGATCGGAACTGACTCAACGGCACTTAACAATAACAACAACTTGTGTACTATACTTAAAAAAAAAGTCTTTAAAGTGTTCAAAAGAAAATGGAAAACAATAGCCTGAACAATGCAAAATGACTATATTTATTAATCATTTATAAAATGCTGAAGAATTGACAGCTATGAATTTAGAAATCCTGAATTAAGCTAGAAGCATATTTAGATAAATTATTTTATTTTTAATCTTTAAAATGTCCAAAAGATGACTGTCATGAATTGAATTGCATCCCTCCCAAAATATGTGTCAACTTCACTGGATCATGATTGTCAATGGTTTGGTAGTTACATGATGATGTAATTTGGTAGTTGTGCAATGATGTAATCATCCCTCATGATGTGATCTGATGTGATCAGCCAATAAGTTATAATGGGATTAGGGTGGGATACAATACACTTATAAAGGTCACAGCCCTGATCTAATATAAGGGGACTTTTCCTGGAATGTGGTCTGTATCATCTTTTATCTTAGGCAAATGGAGAGAGAAACCAGTAGAGAAGGGAGGCCTGACTATCACCAGGAAAGAAGAGCCCCTGCACTGAGAACCTCCTAGACCCAGGGCAAGACATGTGCAAAGATGCATGGAGCTGTCCAATCAGTACCAAGCCCATGGGTATTGAAAGGAGATAGGACCTTCCCCAGAGATTACAGAGAAAACCTAGAACTAGCGTCCTGAATTTGGACTTTTACTTTCCTGAATTGTAAGACACTATAATTCCATGTGTGAAAGCCAGCCACTTGTAGTATTTCTATTACTGTAAAACTAAATAAGACAATAGCAGAAATAAAAAGAAAGAGATAGACCACAGAATAGAGAAAAACATTAAAAAGGGATTTTTTTTCAGGCTTTGGTTGTTGTAATATCCCTACTCCCTATTGCTCTAAGCTAAGCTAATAATACTAGCCACTAATATTTACTGAGAATTTACTGCGAGGCACTTCGAATTGCATGGATCATCTCATTTAATCCTCATAATAACTTTATGAGGTAGGTGCTATTATCTCCTGTTTACAGATAGGGAAATGAAGTTTAAAGAGGATAGGTAACTTGATGAATATTACCTTCCCAATAAAGGGTACAGCAGGAATACTGACTGCTCCCCCAAAGAGCTGGGAGGGGAGATTCTAGTCAGACAGTCGTAGCCTCTCCACCACACACATGGGGATCATTCAATTCTGGGGGTGAGATTCTGAAGGCAGAGCCTCTGTGTATAGCTCTTTAGGTTGTCCATGGCTCAAGGGTACCACACCTAAGGGATGCCATCCCACTGTAGACATATTCTAACTTAAATGAGAAGCTTCGATCAGGTGCAAAAGTCTAGACCTCCTGACCAAACCCTGGGGTAGTGGCACACTTAGCTGCACACACACACTAGCACATACACAAGACTTCTCTGTCCCAACCATACTCCAAGCATGGAGTTGTTCCTCTTCCTCTCCTATTGTTTTCAGTGACCTAGTTCATATTCCCAATGGGATCATGGAGAATATATGCTGCCACCTGTGGTTACCCAAATTGTACAGAAATAGACCAAATGAATATTTTTCTTAAGGAAGAGGTGCCCTTTCTAATTGGCTCAACCATGCTATATTATCTATCAGTGGTCCTGATTAAGGGTCCTTAACTAGCTTCTGCAGCATTCCTGTCCCCTTGCGCTCCTCAGTTGTTGAGTGCTTGGACCGTGCCCACCATTTTTTGCCCACAGAGATAGATCACATCTTTGACAAAGAAAACCTTAGCTATAAAATATTTTCCAAAGGGAAATACTGGGGTGTTTTCTAAACTCGTTTATGCCACACTTGTCTTCTCCTCCAGTGAAGATCATCACTTCACAGTACTGGGCTTTGTCCAAGGCAGGAACTAATAACTCCTAGACCATGTAATTAAACTAGGGTCAGCAACCCACATGACCCCAACTGCCTCTCCATGGGAGCTTTAGGGGTCAGGTCAGCTGGAATGTATCAGTCATTGACCAGCTAACAGGGGAATTCCTCTCGTGAATTCTGAAGTTTCCTTCTTTCTTGTCCAGGTTATTGTAACACTTGTCTGGGAGATGCCTGAATGGGCCGGCAAAGCTGGGGCATCCCCAAAATGTCTTGAACCCTGGAGTGAAGGGGAAATGGGAGGTGGGGGAATGTGGATCAGTGTGTGTGTGAGCACGAAGCAACTAGAACCACCCCTGGAAACACGGTGTTAAAATAAGTGACAGTAAGAACAAGGGGCCAGGACTGGCTTCCTCTTATAAATCACAGATGCTCCCAGAGAAGTGATTTGCTGAAAATTGCATAGAGGTGAGTGGCAGAGCTTTGTCTTGATCTAGGTTTTCCAGGGCTTAAGTACAGCTTCTTTCCAACATACCACACTGCATTCTCTAACTCTAGATTTAAAGAAGACACCCAATACACCAGCAACTCAAGGAGATCAAAGAAAAGTCCAAGGGGACCTGATTTCTGAATTGAGATGAATGGAACTGTTTCAACTAAGTCTGGAGAGCAGAAGGTGAGATGGTTTCCTTCTGAGGTTGGGGTCTTGGCTCTGAATATGGGTGGTGAATTGCAACAACAGCTGTCAAGCATGTACCCAGGATCTCTTCTCAGAGCAGACTGGGCTCATCCCAGGGGCCAGTTAAGGATTCTAGAGGCCATTTCTCCTCCGTCTACCTGCCTACTCTTCTCATCCCACCCTCTGTATCACCAAAGTGCCAAATTCCCTGCAGAGCCCTGGGTACCTTAGAAAGAACAACTGTTAGAAAGAGAAAGGAGCTTGGAGATCATACAGTCAAGATTTTTATTTCTTTTTAATAGTGGAGGGGAAAGAAGCACATTACTCAAGGCCACTCATTTGGTCAGAGATGAACAAAGCAGAAACTCCAAATGCTGGTTCTATGCTCTTGACTCTACATTATACTGTTGGTTCCCTACTTGTTTACTGCTCAGTGGGGCTCCAAGGGGTAGTAGGGACCCAGGAAGTACTATACCAGGCTGGGTGGAATATGAGGGAGATGCCCTTTCCAGAAAAACCAGAGGTTCAAGAGAGTTCTCGGTGTGCCTCTCACCTCCTGAAATGCTGTTTACTATCACAGAGGTCTGTGGGCCCAAGCTGCTTAGTTAGGGTTCCTAGTCATCTGGAGAAAGGTTATCTGAAGGTCACCAGCAAGGAGGTGAATAAAAGCAATTCCGTTGAATGTTATCATTTGAACCTCCAATCAAGTCTGATAACATCCTGAAGTCTTTTTATCTCACACGCCGAGCTTCCTCATTACCCTGCTCAGGTGGCGTTTGTTCATGAAACAGAGATTGCTGCCCCATTGGACTTCAGAGGAACTGGGTTGTGTGGCGCCCATACTTTGTCCCCAACATGTGCTGTGTCAGTACTTGCCACTAAAGAAAAAAATTAACCTCCAGGAAAGTCTGGTGCCAACCCCAGCCTTAGCCTGGATTTATTGAATACAAGTTAAACAACAGATTGAGTACAGGCACTTCCTGTTGACGGCAGCAAGCCAGACATTCTGGAAGGCAAGGAGGGATCTGAGGAAGATGGCAGTGCCAAGGCAGGGGTTTGCTAAGAGAAGGCACAGAAGGAAAGTATGAGATGCCTGTGGACTTTTCCAAATCTGACTATTCAGAACTCTATCAGCAAAGAACAGCCAAAGGCCTTATGGAGAAGGATAGGGAGAGCCAAGTTGAATGGCCAACTTGAATTCTTGGACAAACCCAAGGACTATGCTTTTCTCTCATTCTGTCCTCTCTCTTTCCTTCTCCTTTTTTCACCTACTACTCTTCATTTTCTACGACTCCTTCTGCTGTTTTTATTTCCATTTTATTTTCTCTTCTTTTCAGTTCCCATCCCTACAGTCTATGTTCCCCATTAGCCATGTGTGACTTGTCAGTAGGGACCAGTCACTGAGAAGGATGTCATGTTTGGTAAAGTGACAGGTCAGAGAAAAAGAGGAAGATCCCCAGTGAGATGAATTTGCACAGTGATAGAAATGATGGGACTCAAGCATAGCAACAACTGTGAGGCTGGTCCAGGACCAGATAGTGTTTTGTCCTGTTGTGTACAGGGTCATTATGAATTGGTACCGACTCGATGGTACCTAAAAACAATGACATGTGTGATTTAGTCAAGTTGAACAGCGAGGGAAGTCCTGACCTTGGGTCAAATCATTGACTATTAATACCTGTTCTTAAAGTTTAAAAAAAAAAAAAAAGAAAAGCAAACACATTGAGTTGACTTCACTCATGATGATTCCATGTGTGTCAAAGCACAACTAAGCCCCATAGGGTTTTCAGTGGCTAATTTTCTTCAGGCCTTTCTTTGGAGGCACCTCTGGGTATACCTGAACCTTAAACCTAGCATCACCCAGGGACTTCATTCTTAACATCAGTGAATTATACATTAGAGTAGAAAGGAGATAAAAATTGTGAAACGGCTAAATTTAGGTGTTTTTTTTTTTTTCTTTCTCTCTTAATCTATAAATTCCAGGAACTGTAAGCAGATTTTTAATAAAAGTGAGTCCCTGAATACTCTCTGGGGAGTACAAAAAAAAAAAAGTATAATGCACAAACTCTGTCTTTTTAATCACTAAGCAAGAAAAGAGCTATTTAGAAATGAATTGAAGTAACTACTATTAACTGATGATATATGGAGTGGATTGCAATCATTGTAATGACATAAAATGTATAATTTACTTAATGTGGGATTGATGATCTGTTCTGTATATATTCACTCAATTCACAATAAAAAAAAGTTAAAAATACAAATACTAAATAAATTAAAGAGCCATTTAGTAGTGGTCAGCATGGTGTTGGAGCCCCGGTGTGATGCTATGGAATAAAGTACTGGACTGAAATGTTGGTTTAAAACACAAGGTTGGTGGTTCAAACTCAACAGCTACTCCTTGGAAACCCTATACAGGGCCATAACTGACTCGATGGCACTTAACAACAACAGTATGGTGTTGACAGAGAATGGTGGGTTCTTGTTCACAATAGCTATGCGTTGTCACCTGCTTTGAGCTGAGCCTTATGTCAGAACCTACGGGTAAGATGAATGAGACAAAGTCCTTCACTCAAGGTGTTCCCCAGGTTACCAGGAGACACTAGAGCAAGACACCAGATCAATACAGAGTTGGGGCAGGAAGGACTTTCTGGCAGTTGTGGAGAAGAAACAGAACAGAACCTGAGACAGATCCTATATAGACAACTACTTAGGCACAGTGTGGATTTTTAACTCCGTACTGCTATTCTGAGGCTCAGGACCAGTGGAACCGAAAGTTTCCATTGAAGGAATCAATTCCTCTTTAGCAAAGAGATTAGGGTGAGGAGAGAAGGGGACAGGAAGTGCTCTATATCAGACACACTCTAAAGTGCTTTCAATATCTTTCTCCCTTAAGTTGTACAACAATCGCCCAGTACAGATTTTCTCATCCCCAATCCTACAGATGAGAAAACAATTCCCCAAGGCTCAGTAACTTCTCCAGGGTCCTGCAATTTCAACTAAGATCTCAACTTCTAAGCACATGGCCTTCCCATTCCACAATGCACTCCCAAGAATTCAGAGCTCCAAGCTGGCAAGTGGGAGCAGGACTTGAATCCCAGAGAGGGAATTTCACTGCTTCTAAACACAGAAACCACAAGGGGGTAGAGTGGGAATATAGCCTTGATGAGAATGGCTCAGGCCAAATATGCAAATATATAAGAGTGAGGATGGGATAAACTTCCCTCAGAGACAGGGGCTCATGTCTTGTGCTATTTGTTGTTGAACTGATTCTGACTCATGATAACCCCATGTGTGCAAAGTAGAGGTTGCTTCCTAGGATTTTCAAGACGTGACTTTTCTAAAGCAGATTGCCAGGTCTGCCTTCCAAGGTGCCTTTGTGTGAGTTGTAACAGTCAACCAGTTGGGCCACCCAAGAACTCTTTTGTCTTAGAAATAACCTATCCAGCCCTTCCTCTGAGCAAACTGAGAACCCAACGATTGTTGTACAACTCAAGGGATAAAGATATTGTGTGTGTGTGGGTGGGGTGGGGGGGTCCCGCCTTTGCTTGTCTTGATCCTCCTTTCATTTGGTGTCTTTTGAAGGTCACCAACCAGAGGCCAGGATGGAAAATGCCCCTTCTCATCATCTTGGTCCTGCTGCAAGGTGAGTACCCAATGCAGTCCCTGGCTCAGAGCTTGCAGAACCATGTAAACCCAGACTGAAATCTTTCAGGGCATGGAGATTCCTGACCAGCACTTCAGGGGGTACTTGGTGCTCCCTTGTCAATATGGGCATATCTGTGGTTTTCTCTCTTGGGCTCTGGGACCAGACAGTGGATCCTGGGAATGACCAGACTTGACCTAGAGGAATAAGGGTAGCAAGGGCTCACATGACAGGGCATGTGTCTAACTTGATGATTTCTTAAATATTCATGTTTCAATAGTGTCCATTTTCTGGAGATAATTAAAACTTGGTTGAATTTCCACGGTAAGGGTTTCAGGGTATGCAAAAGACAGAAACAGTAGGGTTTCATTACTACTTATTCTACAAATACCTAAGTGTCGGGCCCATTAAGATGAAGATGCTGCCTTACTCTAAAAGAGTTCACAGTCTACAGAGGAAGTAGGTAGGCAAACAAAACAATTCTATTTATTTATTGACTTATTTATTCAACTTATTTATTTACTCAACTTATTTATTACTGAGGGCCCCAGACACTGGGAACAGAAAGATGGAAGACAGGATCTCTGCTTTAAAGGTCCTGGCAGCCTGGTGTAGTTGGACTGGCCAGGTATAGATCAGACTTGGATTGCAAAGGTCTCCATCTCTACACACTGGCACCTGGATTTTATTCTCATAGTGATGTGAAGCCATAGAAGAATACCGTGACTTTACTAAGAGGTCCCTGGGTGGTACAAGCAGTTTGCAATCAACCACTACCTGTCTTATTTACCTAAAGCTGCTATGACAGAAATAGCATAGGTGAATGGCTTTAACAAACAGAAATTTGTTTTCTCACAGTTTAGAAGACTGAAAGTCTGAAGTCGGGTTGCTGACTAGAGGGGAAGGCTTTCTTTCTCTGTTGGCCCCGGAGGAAGGTCCTGGTCTCTTCTGCTTCTGTTTCCTTGAAAAATTCCAGAACATAATCCAACAGAGAAAGAAAATCTTCCCCCAAATTCAGACTTCTAGCCTCCTGAATTGTGTGAAAATCAATTTCTGTTCTTATCCGTCATCTACTTGTGGCATTTCTGTTATAGCAGTGCTAGATGACTAAGAGAAATATATGTACTAGCAGGGTGCTGCTCTAACAGACACCTAAAATGTGGAAGTAGTTTCGAAACTGGGTCATAGGTGGAGGCTGGAAGAGTTTTAAGGTATAAAAATATATACAGTTTAAAGAAAAAGAAAGTAAAAGCCTGGATTGTTTTGATGGACATCAAAGGCAATTGTGGTGAGGCTCAGAAGGAAGTGAGGAAAAGCTGTAGAGAAAGTTGCTGTTTTCTTAGAGTATAAATACGGTACCAATAACAGAGTGCTTCTAGAAAGGTGGGCATTTGATGTGCTTTAGGTGAGGATTTGCAATAAAATGATGAAATATAATTGGACAGTGGACAAATTCTGTGGCACAATAAAAACTAAAAAAACAACAACAACAAAACATTCGCACCCCAGATGAAATCTAAATAATAATAATAATTTGTTGTTGTTAGGTACCATCGAGTCGGTACCGACTCATAGCAACCCTATGCACACCGGAACAAAACACTGTCCGGTCCTGGGCCAACCTCACAATTGTTGCCACTCTTGAGCCCATTGATGCTGCCACTTTTCCAATCCATCTCGCGGGAGGTCTTCCTCTCTTTCTCTGACTCTCCACCTTGCCAAACGTGATATCCTTCTCCAAAGTATCAGAGACAAAGTTTGGCCATCTTGGCCTCCAAGGAGCACTCTGGCTGCACTTCTTCCAACACAGATCTGTTTGTTCTTTTGGCAGCCCATGGCATTTTCAATATTCTCCTCCAACACCATAACTCAAAAGCATCGATTCTTCTATGGTCTTCCTTATTCACAGTCTAGTTTTTGCATGCAGATGAGGTTATTGAAAATGCCAGGGCTTGGGTCAGGTGCACCTTAGTCCTCAAGCTGACATCTTTGCTCTTCAACACTTTAAAAAGGTCTTGTGCAGAAGATTTGCCTAATGCAATACATCGTTTGATTTCCTGACTGCTGCTTCCATGAGTGATCCTAGAAGAATGAAGTCCTTGACAACTTCAATCTTTTCTCCGTGGATAAGAACGTTGTTTATTGGTCCAGTGGTGAGGATTGTTGTTTTCTTTACATTGAGAAGTAATCCATACAGAATGGAAGCTCATCTGAAACCTGTCCACCATGGGTGACCCTGCTGATATTTAAAATACCAGTGGCATAGCTTCCAGAATCACAGCAACTCACAAGCCACCACAGTACGACAAACTGACAGACGAGTGGTGGAATAATAATAATAGGGGAGTATATAGTATGTTGCTGGTGTTGTTAAATGCTGTGAAGTTGATTATGACTCATAGCTACCCTGTATAGGATTTTCAAGGTTTCAAATCTGCCCGGGAGCAGCAAGTCTCATCTTTATAACATGGAGTGACTGGTGGGCTTGAACCGCGGATCTTGTGATTCTTTATTCTTTGGAGTCACCACACTCCCACACAATATAAAGGGCCTTCAAAAAGTGTGTGGAAAAATTCCATAATCTTTTAATTCTACTTTATCCACACACTTTTTGAACTGCAAGGTCGGTGGTTCAAGCTCACCAGCTGCTCCTCGGAAACCCTACACAGGGTCGCTATGGGTGGGAACTGACTCGATGGCACTTAACAACAACAACAACATATATTAGAGTTTTGTAAGTGCTTTAAGCAAGAGCAAGCTAAGAGTGATGGGGATAGGGACAATATGCAATTGTTACATAGTGTGATAAAGAGTAAGTCTCATAGAAAAGGTGACATTTTACTTCAAAAAGGTGAGGGATTTTTCATTCTATTCTCCTTGCAGGCATAGTATTCCATGAAGGGTTTTGAGGAGACCATTTCAAGTGTGCTGGAGAGGGGTTATTTAAGGGAACACCAAAAATAAATAAATAAATAAGATCAGTGTCTACTAAATAAAAGAAGCCCTGGTGGTACTTTAGGATAAGCATTGGACTGCTAACCATGGGGTTGAGAGTTCAAACCCACCAGCTGTTACTTAGGAGAAAGATGAGGCTTTTTTAAAAAATTTTTTTAAATGCAGTGTGGCAAAGAACTTGTCTAAATTATGTCTAAATATTTGATGAAAGGTAGTACTTGTAAGTGATAAGCTTGGATAGATAACTGGTGAGATTTCTAAACAAGAACTTAAAGGGGCCGTACGATTTATAGAAAACAGAGAGAAGAAAGAGATGGACTTGAAAATTAATTGTGAAAACAGAACTTAAAGATTTAGAAAATTCTGTTGTACAAAGCTAAGGACAATGTACTAGAATGGTCAGCTTGGACATGGCCACCAACACTTTTGGTTAAAGAGATTAAACCTGTGACTCATGAATGACAGCAGAAAGAAGTCATCAGCTTATCATGAAAGGGACAGAGAAGAAGAAAAGTGAGAACATTGTCTGCCTTTTGGGAGTCCACAGGCAGGAAACAGGTCAAAGGAGCTACATCTGTTGTTCTCCAAGAAAAGGAAAAGGCCATTCCTAGAGTAGCTCAAAGATTAGCAGAACTGTTGGAATGAGCACAGAAGGCAGGGTTGTATCAGTTTCAAAGGGTGGGCCACAGCCTTTTAGCTTAAAAGAGTCAAATCTTCACCAACTCAATTCCTGTAGTGTAGGACTGCCATTCAGAAGTCTCAGAGGAATGGAACCAGTGCCCCAAACTGATTGGGTGGAGTTCCTATGGTGGAGAGAGAAAAAGATCAGGATCTGCCATGACTGAAAGGATGAGGTCACTACTCAGATGAAATAGAAGAATAGGGAAGCTCACAGCCAAAGAAGCAGCAATGGGAGATTAGTGCCAAGCCACATGGAGATCTTCAAGGAACCATGAAACAAGTTAAAGATTCAATGATCTTCGCCTAGAGCCACCAGAGAGATAAGGGCTTCCCTCCCTGTGGAGCGGCTGCCCAGAATTCATACTTCTAGTCTCTTAAACTGTGAAAAAATTGATTGCTGTTTGTTTAAGTCAACCACTTGTGATATTTTTGTTATAACAGCAAATTTAACTTAAAAGTTTGCAGTTCAAACCCACCCAGTAGCACAGTAGAAGAAAGGCCTGATTGCTTTAAACAAAAATGATGAACATATGATTGGACAAGGGAGAAAGGGTGATCACGATGCTTTTTATGCAATGACAAAGAACTTGTTTGACTTATACTCAATGTTTGCTGGAAGGTAGCACTCCTAAGTGATGAACTTGGATAGCTACTGATCTGATATTTTGGTGATCTGCTTCCATAAATATTATGGCCAAGAAAACTCTTCGGGGAAAATCTATTCTGCAACATATGGGTGTCCCATAAGTTGGAATCGACTTGACAGCAACAGGCTTTTAGTATCTAGAGTGTCCAGTATCCAGAAACTAGTCCCAACTAGATGCTTAATAAGTCATTGTTGAATAAGTTGATTAATTAATATGATAACACCAAAAATAGGATTAACAACTGTATTTGGCTTCTAAAGAAACTGCACACAAATAAACATCTGAGTTTTAATAAAGCAATTTTGCTATTATTAGGTGCTGTCAAGTCATTTTGACATATGGTGATGCTATGCACAATAGAATGAAACACTACCCAGTCCTGTGCCATCCTTACAATTGCTGCTATGCTTGAGCCCACAGCTGCTACTATTATGCCTATCTATCTTCTTGGGGGTCTCCCTCTTTTTCACTGACCCTCAAGTGTGCCAAGCATGATGTCCTTCACAATGATGTCCCTCTTAATAAGTCCAAAGTATAAGACATGAAGTCTGGTCATCTTAGCTTCTAAGGAGCATTCTGGTTGTACTTTTTCCAACAGATTTGTTTGTTCTTCTGGCAGTCCATGGTGCCTTTAAAATTTTTAACCAACACCATAACTCAAATACATAAATTCTTCTATAGTCTTCTTTATTCATTGTCCAACTTTCACATGCATATGAGACTATAGAAAATACCATGGCTTGGGTTAGGCACACTTCAGTCTTCAAACTGACATCTTTCCTCTTGAACAATTTAAAGAGGTCTTGTGAAGCAAATTTGCCTAATGCAATAATACATCGCTTGATTTCTTGACTGCTATTTCCATGAATATTGATGGTGGATCCAAGCAAAATGAAGTCTTTAAAAACTTCAATATTTTTTCCATTTATTACGATGCTATTTATTGGTCCAGCTGTGAGGATTTTTGCTTTCTTTACATTGAGGTGCAACTGATACTGAAGGTTGTGGTCTTTGACCTTCATCATTAAATATTTTAAGTCCTCTTGGCATTCAACAACAAAGCTGTATCATCTACATATCACAGGTTGTTAATGGGTCTTCCTCCAATCCTGATACCAGGTTCTTCTTCATATAATCCAGCTTCTCATATCATTTGCTCAATATACAAATTGAATACGTATGGTGAAATAATACAACTCTAGCACATATCTTTTCCAATTTTAAACAGTATCCCCTTGTTTTGTTCCAACAATTGCCTCTGTCTATGTGCTCATGAGCACAATTAAGTGTTCTGGGATACTCATTCTCCACAATGTTGTCCGTTGTGTATCATGATCCATACAGTCGAAAGGATTTGCACAGTCAATAAAGCACAGGTAAACATCTTTCTGGAATTCTCTGCTTTCAGCCAAGATCCATCTGACATCAGCAGTGATATCCCTTGTTCCATATACTCATCTGAATCCAGCTTGAACCTTGGCAGTTTCCTGTCAGTGTACTGTTGCAGCCATTTTTAAATTGTCTTTAGCAAAATTTCACTTGCATGGGATATTAATGATATTGTCTGATGATTTCTGCTCTCTGTTGGGCCACCTCTCTTTGGAATGGGCACAAATATGAATATCTTCCAAACAGGAGGCCAGGCAGCTGTCTTCCAAATTTCTTAGCACATATGAGTGAGTGCCTCCAGGGTTGCATCAGTTTGTTGACTGATTACAATTTGTATTCCATCAATTCCTAGAATCTTTTTCTTTGCCAATGCCTGCAGCGCACCTTGGACATCTTCCTATTGGCTCTTGATCACATGCTACCTCTTGAAATGGTTGAACGTCGACCACTTCTTTTTGGTACAGTGACTCTGTGTATTCCTTCCATTTTCTTTGGGTGCTTTCTGCATCATTCAATATGTTGCACAAAGAATCCTTCAGTATTTCAAGTTGACCCTAATGGTATTGGTGGTACAGATTTCTGCATCACAGCAACATGCTCACCACCAGAGTACAACAAACTGACAGATGAGTGGTGGGGTACATGGTAAGTATTAGCTAAATAATAGGTAAATTATCATAACATGATCTTCTCTCAACTGGAAATCTGCCTCAATAACTAAGTGCTACCATTTCCATAGTGATTCCTCTTGGATTCATTTTCAGAGTTGCATTCTCTGACCTGTCCTTAATTCTGGAAGTGTTTGGGTTGTGTAACTTCTCAGATCATGATTACGCTCAGCTCCTCCTCTCCTTGGATTTTTTCTCTACCTGCAGCTGTAGATGCTTTGAAGGGTCCGAGGCTGGTGTCTGGGAAGCTTGGGGGAACTGTCACCATCAAGTGCCGTTATGCCCCCACTTCGGTCAACAGACACCAGAGGAAATATTGGTGCCGCTTGGGTCCCCCCAAGTGGATCTGCCGTACCATCGTGTCCACTAACCACTATACCCACCATCGCTACCATGGCCGCGTGGCTCTAGAAGATTTCCCATGGAGAAGCTTGTTTGTACTGACGATGTCCCAGCTGTCCCAGACAGACGAAGGGTATTACCGCTGTGGCATTGGAAACAGAAATGACATGCTTTTCTTCCCAGTGAACCTGACTGTGTCTGCAGGTAAGAGATGGTAGCTGGTGGGTAGCTTGGTGACATAAGTGCTAGGTAGGAGAAGATGGAAGAGGAGGCTCAGAGACCCAAGAGAACTTTAAATACCAGGGGACTGATGATGGGCAGCTAAGGATAAGGCAAGGACTTTAAGAAGTAGAAGGAACCCTGGTTGACCTGTGGGTTCAACGTTGCACAAAGTCAACAATTCACACTTATCAGCCATTCTACTGAATAAATATGAGACTATTTGCTCCAATGTTTACAGTCTTGTTAAGCGCCATTGAGTCAATTCTGACTTAGTGATCCTGTATAGGGTTTCCAAGGAGTGACTGGTATGTTTGAAACACCGACCTTGTGGTTCACGCTACACACCAGGACTCCATTTACAGTCTTGGAAACACTATATATAGAGTTGGTCTGAGTCAGAATCAACTTGATGGTAGTAGGTTTGGTTGAATTATTTTTTTTTTACAATTTTCATTTTAGAAGTATTATCAGGTGGATTAGAACTCCTGGTTTGGTGCTGTAGGATCAGCACTGGACTATGAACCACGAGGTCGGTAGTTTAAACCTACTAGCTGCTCCTCGAAAACCCTTTATAGGGTCTCTATGAGTTGGAGCTGACTTTATGCCACTTAACAGCCACAACATCAGGTAGATTGGGATCGCAGTGGTTCCATGTGATAAGCTCTAGAATGTGAGCTACACGGTCCAAGGTTGGAGTTTGCCAGTAGCTCTGTGGAAGAAAGATAATGCTTTCTGCTACCACAAAGATTTAAAGACTTGGAAACCTTACACAGGGTACTGATGAGTTGGAACCGACTCGAAGGCACTTAACAACAACAGTCAGGTAGATAGGGAGCACTGTGACTCCATAGGATGAGCACTGTACTGCGAACCACAAGATTCCAGATTGGAGCCCTCCAGCAGTTCTGTGTAAGAAATATGAGGCTTTCTGCTACTGCAAAGATGAACAAGTCTAGGAATCCTACATAAGATCTCTATGAGTTGAACCGACTCCACAACAACAACGTAAGATAGATAAGAAGCCTTTTTAGCAGTCATTAAGCACTTGGCTGCTAACCAAAAAGTCATCAGTTCAAACCCACCAACCACTCTGAGGGAGAAATATATGACAATCTGCTTTGATAAAGACTGTTGTTGTGAAGTGCCGTCAAGTGGGTTCTGACTCACAGAGGCCCTGTATAGGGTTTCCGAGGAGCGGCTGGTGAGCTTGAACCACCAATCTTGTGGTTCAAAACAACCTTGCAGTCCAGTGCATCACCCAGCAGGACCACACCAGGACTCTATTACAGCCTTGAAAACCCTATGGGACAGTTCTATTCTACTCTGTCCTGCAAGATCCCTATGAGTCAGAATAGACTTGACAGCAATTGGTGATACAAATGGTTAACAAATCCACTTAGAAGCAGCTTGGTAGAAAGGTCTCACTATCTGCTTCTGACAAGTTGGCCACTGAGGACCTCACGGAGCACAGTTGTACTCTGACACACATGGGTCACTATTAGCATGAGTGAACTATTCGGCCACTAATTTGGGTTTCTGTTTTCCTTTTGTAATCAAGTAGATAATAGGAAGAACTTCTCTATGGAATGCTCATAAACTGTCCTGCTCGACACACCACCGTCCCCCACCCCCCGAAATATTGTGGAATATAGGTTTGAAAATAGCCTGACAAGGTAGTGAATTGGTGTAGTCTCTTGTGGTTATCATGCCTCATGGGTCAGATGTGTAGAGGAGAGATCACTGTAGAGCAGGTAAGACAGGCGTGACAAATAGGGTACAGGGATGGAGAAACTGGGACCAGAATCTCCCTACAGCAGACTCAGGCTGAGCTCCTCAGCCAGCATTTAGCAACTACCAAGTCAGTGTCAGATTCCTAGAAGTTAATCCAGAGCCAGGCACCTAGAGCACAAGAGATGGGCATCCAATCTGGGAAATGCCACCCTACAGAAGAGATGGCATGTCAGGAAACAGTAGGCACTTATGTCTAAGCACGGATTGGTTTCATTAGATGCTGCTTGCCAAGCATCTGCTGAGATTGTCTGTTCTGACAAAACAGGAATTTTTCTCTTATTTTTCTGAAGCATTGTCTATGATGGACTATGGATCTCTGGGAAAAGGGACAACATGGGGGTCCTGGAAACTGGGTGAAGAGATGTAGGCATGAAAGGGGAGAGAGGGACATAAAATGTCAATATCTACAACAGACTAGAGAATGCATCTAGATTTCCAAAATTTGTATTTTATCTAATATATTGGCCAAAGACTGCATTTCTTAGTCAGCTGCACTCCATTTTAAAAACATGCCAAACTCAATGCCCTTTGCTAAACACAGTGGATAGCCTGATAAGTCTTCCCCTTTGGTTTCCCTCTGCTATTCCCACAGGTCCTTCCAGCACCATCCCCACAAATTTAGATCCTAGCACACCCACTATGAGCTCCTTGGCAACAGTATCTTCAGTGGCCAACAGATTAACCCCAGGAACCATCGAGACTATAGATGGGGTCACAGGAAAAGACAGAGTTGCTTCAACTCCAGGAACCAGCAAAACAACAGTTTCAACTAAGGGAAGACAAGGCCAAGAGATAACCAAGGCAGTAGCTCCAGGGACAGGGAGCTGGATAGAAGGATCCATCAGAGCCACAATTCACAGCCCAGAGAGTATGACTTCAAAGCATACCGTCAGGCCAAAAACATCAGAAGATGTTTGGGTGTGGAGGACCAGAAGCCCAGTAGTAAACAGGACTAGGGTGCTTGAGGAAGGGTGGAAGACAACAATTTCCAAGACTGAGGGGCCAATAGAGGCAACAAAAGCTCTGGATGCAACCCTGAAAGTCATAGGAACTGTTAGGCCATCAACCCTAACTTCAGAAAAATGGACCTGGGAAACCTTTCAAGAAGCAACATCGGTTTCTAAGCAACCAGCTCTGGGCTCCAATGAAGAAACAACTGAAACTATAGGTGTATGGACCTTGACAACCACCATCACAGAAGCAAGTGCTGAAGAAGGTCTGATGTCTACTGCTGGAGACAGTAATATCCAAGCAAAATCAAACCAGGCCCCAGCAGCAGGGCCCCTGAGACCTCAGGGCAAGGAGTCCTCCATGAAGAGGTAAGAACCCAGGCCCTCCCCCAGGTTGGGGTTCCAGCTCTGCCTCACCCTCCTGGCATGCTCCTTGATGAACTGACCTCTGTGTCCTTCTCCCTGCACTTAGCCTCCATTTTAACCTACAAGGCAGTAGCAGACAAGTGATATAAAAACCAGGCACCCTTCCTGCTATAAAAAAAAAACACTACCTGATAATTTTCATGTGGGTTTTAAGCAAAATCTAACTGGCAGACTGACAGAATATTTAGGTGGGAACCTTGAGGACTTCTGTGTTTTTTTGTTTTGTGTTGTTAAAGATGGGGAATGGAGGCTCCAGAGAGGGGAAAGTGACTGCTAACGTCACAAAGAAAGATTGGAGCATGCCTGATTTTCAGTCAGGCCTTCTGCCACTACAGCGCATAGTGAGGCCTAGATGGGTGGAGTAGGAAAAAGGATTAGTGGCTTGGGAATTTCCAGACAGGGGTTCTAGTCCTTGCTCTGCTACCAACCAGAAAAAAACGAAGGCAGCTAACTTCTCTTTGGCATCTCTAAATTGAGAGGCTAGGGCCAAATGATCTTTAATTTTCTCTCCAACTTCACTTCTGCTGTGCTCTCCCCATCTGAATCCCTGCCACTTCTACCCCAGCGCATCATCAAAACAGAAAAGTGTCTCTCGGATCCTGACTCCAGTGTGCACGGTGCTGTCCTTGGTTTTGATCCTGGCTCTTGTTATATTGAAAAAGAAGCTCTGGAAAAAGACCTGTGAGTAGAATTTAAGTAGCCCCACCCCCACCCCGCCACTCTTTGGAAACCCTATACAGGGTAGCTATGAGCTGGAACCTACTCAATGACATTTAACAACAACAACAATCTTTATAGGTAGAAAAGCTTAAGCACTTGATTACTAGCAAAAAGATTGGCAGTTTGAACTCACCCAGAGGCACCTCGAAAGAAAGGTCTGGCTATTTGTTTTGGAAAGGTGACAGCTTTGAAAACTCTATGGAGCACAGTTTAAGGAGGCCTGCTGGTGCAGTGGGTAGCTACCAAAAGGTCAGTGGTTTGAACCCACCTGTCACTCCACGGGATCAAGTTGTGGCAGTTTGCTTTGGTAAAGATTAAACCTTGGAAACCCTATGAGGCAGTTTTACCTTGTCCTGTAGGGTCACTGTGAGTCAAAATAAACTTGATAGCAATAGGGTTGTTTTTGTTTGTTTGTTCTTTTTTTGGTTAATCGTTATGGGAACAGATTGCCTGACCTTTATCCCATGGAACCACTTAGTGGATTTGTATCACCAACCTTCCAGCTAGCAGCCTAAAGCTTAACCATTGTGCCAACAGGTCTCCTTGGATTTAGAAGAGCTAAATTCTAGTCTTTTTATTTCTCTGAGCCTTAGTTTCTTTATCAATCAAAGGGAGAAAACCATCTTTGCCTTTACTTCTTGTAGTCATCCTAGAGCTCAGAAGAGACATAATGCTAACACCATAGACATCTGCACAGCATAAGTAACCCCACAGCACTCAGCAGGAGTGTAGGGCCCAGAAGTAGGGTCAAACTCTGCATTTGCACCCTCTGGAAAACCCAGCTGAAATGTGCAATGTGCCAGGGTCAAATTCCCACAGCGAATGCTCTGTGGTGCTGAGACATGGTGAGGCTTTCTGAGAGCAAATAGCAGAGGCTAAGATTCTCAGATCTAGATTCCCAAAGACCAGTCCAATTGCTGTTGATCTGAGGCTCATTTGCTAGTGTTCTGGGTTAAGGCTCGGGATGGGTAGGGTGGGGGAATCAAATCCAGCAGCCTCCATGCCCAGCACCCTCAAGTCCTGCTCTGTGTCTGTGCAGCTCAAGAGGCAGAAAGGACAACACGGGTCACCCTGATCCAGATGACAAGTATCATGGAGTCGAACCTCTCACCTGACCAGCTGCCCCATCTTGAAAGGAAGACGTTGTAGATGGCTCTCCTCCTACCCCTGCCAAACTGCCCAACTGGTGAGGGACCCGAGACCTTGAGGAATGGAAGAAGAAGTTACTCAACCACCATGGCATAGCAGGATGAGACCAGACATCTCCACAACTCTACCATCTCTTCATCACCTTCCTCCATCTAGAGGAGGAGAACTAATGAGGCTGGAGGGTGATTAGTTAATCAACTGTGGGCTTAAGAAGGCATTCTCCACAGCAGTTAAAGAGGCTTTGAGAAAGGATTATAAGAAGCTTCCAATCAGGGTGTAGAATTCCCAGGTCTCAATCATCATGCCCAGGCCCTTCCTGGAGTCCCTTTTCTGTGTCAGGATTCAGTTTGCTCCACACATCTTCATTAGACTCCTTCTCACCTAGTGTTGTTATTCATTGCTCTTCCAGGCATGCCAAACTTGATTTTCAAGTAGACTTTATGTTCCTTTAGGGCAGTGGTTGTGTTTTACCCAACTCACTATGTCCACAGAGAATTTCCAACTAAATATCAAAATAAACCAAACCCTTTACTGTTGAGCTGATTCTGACTCATGGAGACCCCATGTGTTATTCAGTAGGACTGAGCTCCATAGGGGTTTCTTGGCAGTAATCTTTACAAAAGAAGATCTTGCTTGAGTCCTTTCTTCCTTGGTGCTGCTGCGTGTGTTTGAACTGCCTGTGTTTAGGATTACAGTGGGTCACAAACTGCTTGCAATCTTTTCCAATTCAGTAGAACACCAAGAAATATTTACAGTTGATTGGCCTACTAGAAGGCATGGGCTCAGTGACCTCTGGAGTCCAACCTGTGCAGATGCTCTGTATCCCCTGGACTTCTGCCCCATCATTTGAAGTCCCCTAATATGGTACTGTAGGAGCTCTGGTAGTGTAGTTGTTACGAATCAGGTTGAGAACCGCAAGGTCAGTAGTTCAAACCTACCAGCTGTTCCGCAGGAGAAAGATGAGGCTTTTTGCTCCTGTAAAGATTTACAGCCTCAGAAACCCCTGTACAGGGTCAGTATAAGTTGGAACCGACTCCACGGCATATAACAACAACAACAATGTGGTATTGTAGGATAAGCACTGGACTGCTAACCCCAAGGTCGGCAATTCAAATCCACCAGTCTCTCTTATATAGGATGGTTATGAGTCAGATCCAACTCATCGACATTTAACAGCAACAAAAATAAGAAGGATGACCATAAAGGCAGGTAATCAAAAGGAACAGCACATTTTCCTCAAATCATGGCTCCCCACTTGGTCCCAAACTCCTATGCTGTCAATCAAGGAGCACTACTTGCTCCAAACGGGAAGAGCAGGAGTCCTCAGAAGAAATCAGACCCTACAGTCACACTAATGTAGACCTTTTGACTCCATCAAAATTTTCTGGGATTTTCCTAAGCTTATGAAGAAGAAGAATAAGAAGGGTATTTTTCCGTATATTCACACCTTCTTCATAAAGATTCTCTTGTTCTACTGCTTGTAAATCCTTGGCAGCAAGTACCATAGAAAAAGCTGGGAAGTTTGGGGGAGAAAAGGGAGAGGTTGTTGCTATCAGGTGTAGTTCCAACTCATAATAATCCTATGGACAGCAGAACAAACACTGCCCAATCCTGTGCCATCCTCACAATCCTTTCTATGGTGAGTCTGTCATTGTAGTTGCTGTGTCTGTTCATTTCACTGAGGCTCTTACTCTTTCCTGGACCCTTTACTTTACCAAACATGATACCGGTGATAGTTAAAGTTTTGTCAACTTGACTGGGCCAGGATTCTCAATGGCTTGGCTATTGGGATGTAATTTCCCTATAATGAGATCTAATGTATGACGAGGTCTGCTATGAGCAGCCAATCAATTGTAAGGATGTTTCATTGAGGGTGTGACCTGCTTCCAATATATTGGACACTCAGGCAAAGCTTGTTTTCTCTCTGCTGGTCTGGCTCTTGCATCTGGCTCCAACCAGTTTCTTTAGACTTGAGTCAGTGACTATTGCCTGACTGCCTGTTGTCTAACCTGTCAATATTGGTTCTTGGAACTCTTGTACCTCTATGTGTGAGCCATTTCCTTGATATAAACTTATCTTTATATGTGCATATATAAATTTCACTGGTTTTGCTTTTCTACAGAACCCAGCCTAAGACACTGCCTTTCCCAGAGAATTCATCCCTCCTGATAGCATGTCCAAAGTACATGAGATGAAGTCTTATCACCCTCACTTCTAAGGTACATTATTGCTGTATTTCTTCTAAGACAGATTTATTCCTTCTTTTAGAAGTCAACATTTTTCACCAACACCTTGATTCAAATATATAAATTCTACTTCAGTCTTCCTTATTCATTGCTCAACTTTCCCATGAATATAAGGTGGTTAAAAATATGTCAGGCACACGTTAGTGCTCAAGATAATACTTTTGCTTTTTAGCACTTTAAAGAGGTCTTTTGCCGCAGATTTTCCCAATGCAATACATCATTTGATTTCTAGACTGCTGCTTCTATGTACATTGATTGTAGATTCAAGTAAAATAAAATCCTTGATAACTTCAATCTTTTCTTTAATCATGATGCTACTTATTGGTCTAATTGTTCGGATGAAGATTTTTGGTTTCTTTGTTTAGCTGTAAGTGCTTCAAATCCTCTTCACTTAAAGCAACAAGGTTGTATCATTTACATATTGCAGGTTGTTGATGAGTCTTCCTTCAGTTCTAATGTCACATGTTTCTTCATATAGTCCAGATTCTTGGGTTGTTTGCTAAACATACAGATTGAATAAGTATGGTGCAAGGACACAACCCTGACAAACACAGTATCCCTTTGTTCTGTTTAATGACTGCCTCTTGGTCTATGTACAGGTTCCACATGAATACAATGAGTATTCTGGAATTCCCATTCTTCACAATGTCATCCATAATTTGTTATGATCTATACAGTTGAATACCTTTGCATAGTTAATAAAACACTGATAATCATCTCTACTTTAAGCCAAGATTTACCTGACTTCTATGTCCTCTTCTGGATCTGGCTTGAATTTCTGGCAGTTCTCCATGGATGTACTGCTGCAACTGTTTTCTTGATTATTTTCAGCAAAAATTTTCTTCTTGAGTATGATATTAGTGATATTATTCAACAATTTCTGAATTCTATTGGATCATTTTTCTTAAGAAAGGACACAAATACTAATCTCTTACAGTTGATTGGCCAGGTATCTACATTCCAAATGTCATGAGTGCTTTTAGTGTTGTATTCATTTGTTGAAATATCTCAAATGGTATCCCATCATTTCCTGAAGCCTCAATTTGGGCCAGTGCCTTCAGTGCAGCTTGGCCTTCAATACCATTGGCTCTTGATCAGATGCTACGTCCTGAAATTGTTGAACATCAACCAGTTATTTTTGGTACAATCATTCTGAGTGTTCCTTTCATCTTCTTTTTATGTTTCCAGTGTCATTCAACTTTTTCCCCATAGAATCCTTCAATATTGCAACTTGAGAAGCTTGACTTTTTCGCTAGTTCTTTCTACTTGAGAAATGCCAAACATGTTCTTACCTTTGGTTTTCTAATTTCAGATCTTCACACATTTCATTAAACACTTCTTTTTTTTGGTCTTTTACAACCACACTTTGACATTTTTTGTTTGGTTCTTTTACCATTTCTTCCCTTCACTTTAGCTATTCTATATTCAAGAGCAATTTTCAGAGTCTCTTCTGATATCCATTTTGGTATTTTCTTTATTTCCTGTCTTTTTAGTGATCTTTTGCATTCTTCATGTGATCCTTGATATGATCCCACAACTCATCTAAATCTGTTCTTGAGATGGTCTCTAAATTCAAGTGGTATGTACTCACGGTTATCCTTTGGCTCTTGTGAGCTTGTTTTACTTTTCTTCAGCTTCACCGTGAACTTGCATGTTAGCAACTGATGGTCTGTTCTGCAATCAGCCTCTGGCCTTGTTCTGGCTGGTGGTACTAAGCTTTCCCATAGTCTCTTCCCACAGATGTACTCAATTTGATCCTCCATATTTTGTTTGGCAAATTCCACATATACAGTTGCCATTTATGTTGTTGGAAAAAGATCACTGATCTTGAAAAATTCTATCATACAATCTCTGGCATCATTTCTATCACCAACGTCATATTTTCCAACTACAGAACTTTCATTTTTGTTTCCAGTGTTTGCATTTTAATCACCAGTAATTATCAGTGCACCTCAGTTGCATGTTTGATCAATTTCAGATGCAGAAGTTGGTAAAAATATTTTAATTTCTTCATCTGTGGTTGGTACACAGATTTGAATAACAGTTATATTACCTAGTCTTCCTTTCAGATTTATGGATATTAATTATCCCCTCTCTGACAGCATTGTATTTCAGGATAGATTTCAAAATGCCATTTTTGACAATGAAGGCAATTCCATTTCTCTTTCATTTTTCTTTCCCAGCATACTAGAATCTATGGTTGTCTGATTCAAAATAGCCAATACCTGTCTATTTTAGCTCATGAATGCTTAGGATATTCATTGTCAAGCTTCCCATTTTATTTTTGACAACTTGTCATTTTCATACATTCCTACTTCAGACATTCCACATTCCAATTACCAAGGATTTTTTTAAGGGGTAGAGTCAAAAAGAAAGGAGAATAATTTTACATAGATTTTGTTTTATAACTACTTTACTTCATACCTGTTGGGGAAATTTACCAACATCCTTGGTTCAACTGTCTTTCCAGGAATCACATCTGCTCTTGTATTTTTGTAGATATGTTGGCAAAATATCTAGATTTCACTTCTGGACAGAGAAGACTTTGAATACTAGAAACAGAAAGGAAAGTAAGTTTCTAACAGAGCTGTCAGACAGATAGATATTCCCTGAAAACTCAATGCCTCTTCCTAAATTGTCAGCAACACCAGAAACCCTTTATTTATACCTCCTGAGATCTAGTGATGATCTCTGGTGGTACAGTGGTTAAAGCATTTAACTTCCAACTGTAAGTTCATCAGTTTGAACCCATCA